GATGTGCTATACATGGAAGCGCGTCTACCTTCTTTGTTAAATACATTCAAAATTCTTACTATCCAAACATTTATAAAACTGTACACTTTGCCACAGAGAGAATCGTTTTTTTTTTGCTTTTATTAAAGAGCGAAGCTTATTTTCTGAAACTAGGTGGTCGCGATTGCACTACCCAAAGATCATGTTCGTTCAAGCACTGCTAGAACCACTGAACGTCAAAATCAAACATATTTTCTCAACAAGTAACTTTAATTTATATCTTCAGATATAATTTGAGAATATTTACCCCTGTAATGCGAAGCAAATGCCATTTAAATATTTATATGATCGGCTTCAGGATTAATTGGCACTCGTGAACATGAACAACATAATTGCGACTCATGCATCCGTATCAAATGAAAAGGCTGGGGCAGGTATCTTCTCACGTTCCCTTGACTGGTCCTTTTCGGTTAGACTTCCACATTACACACCAATATTCATAGCAGAATTATTTGCTATTGTATTAGAACTACGGAAACTTCCTTTGGGTGAATCAGAAGCAGTCGTACTTACAGATTCTTTTTCAGGAGGAGGAGGAGGAAGGGAAGAAATGAAAAGCAGGGAGGTCAACCAGACGCACGTCCGGTTTGCTACCCTGCACTGGGGGAAGGGGTGAGGGGATGAAAGAAGAAGAGAGAGAGAAGTGAAGGGCAACGTGTGTGTAGATGTGACCTTGTCCATTGCACGCTTATAAGCGGTCGCGTAGTCCGGTCGTCTTTAGAAAACTTAGCAATGCCCGCGTCGCTTTGCTGGCCAGCGACGCGTAGAGCCATGAGCCAAGTATCTTCTCTTCGGAAAAAGGTCTACTGTCTAGTGTCTCTAACGTTTCACGTAGCAAGTTGCTTTCGCTCGCAAAACGTTCACATGAACACAGTAGATGTTCTATTGTCTCGTCAGTGTCGCACGATTCACATCGGGAGCTATCCGCCATTCCTATGCGAAAGGAGTACGCCTTTGTAAAAGCTACTCCTAACCACAGGCGGCCACAGTAAAGTTGCATCCTGGCGGGAGAGGTCCGATAGAACTTGAAGCTTTCTCGATGGGTCCAATTTGTGTAGGCGGCGGTTCCTGACACTGGGGTCACTCAGCCAAGTTTCCGACATGGTGTTAGCGAACGAGTGAAGGCCCCTTGCAGCGTCGGTTCTCGACAATGGAATTGGGGTTGTCTGGGCGTCCGCGTGGGTGGATCGGGCAGCATTATCAGCAAGGTCATTACCGACAATACCACAATGTCCCGGTAACCACTGGAACACCAAGTCATGTCCTTTCGATAAAACTTCGTGAATCACTTCTCTTATTTCATTCACTAGTTGTTGATGCTCCCTCTGTCGTAAAGCTGATTGCAAGCTCTGAAGGGATGTCTTGGAGTCGCAGAACACAGCCCATTTTTGAGGTCGGGCTTCCGCGACATAAAGTATAGCAGCACGTAAGGCGGCAAGCTCCGCTGCTGTGATTGTTGTCCTATGCGACAGTGTAAGCTTTAGCTTTTTCAGTATATGCTGTTCCGTCTTCGCGAGCAACCTTAACACTAATGCATATGTTTGGACAACTCATACCGACAAACTTGCAAAAACTTCAGCTGTTATGGGTACCAGGCCATCGTTGCATATATCTCAATGAGATGGCGGATTCACTGGGCATAGTATCTCTTAGCGGTCCCTTATCCCGATTTTGCCTGACATGGCTTACGCGACAGCAATAAGGTTTAGAAACCTCTGTTTGCATGAATTCAACTCCTATTAACTGGATAAATTTCGAGATTTCACCGATCTAGGATGCTGCTGGAATAGACAGTGGTGCTCAACATGGCAATTGGAAGTCACTTTTACCAGACTACGTTCTGGAATCCCACAACTAAATTACTATTTACATATTGTTGGTCTAAAGGCGTCACCTTTATGTCAGATTTGCGAAAAAATGGAAACGATAGATCATTTCTTTTTATTTTGTCGCCGATATTCTTATCCTGGTAGCTCCACTTGGTAGCTCCTGGTACCAGATACCTGGTAGCTCCACTTGAAAAATTAAAATTAGAATTAAATGTGGCAGTAATTTTATCGTTTGACAGCATTAAATTTGGTTATAGCCACAGGGACGTCTGCTCTGCAGCATTTGACTACATAACTGAAACAAAGCGATTGCATTTAAAGTGCCTTTATATACATATATATATATATATATATATATATATATATATATATATATATATATATATATATATATATATATATATATATATATGGTGGTGGGGTGAAATTCAATGGATCTGGTGGAAAATGCGGTAGAAAAAGAGGTCGACAAATGTGCGAAAAAACCATATATATATATATATATATATATATATATATATATATATATATATATATATATATATATATATATATATATATATATATATATATATATATATATTCCAGTCCAAAATTAGATCCTGCCGCCCGGTTCTTGGTCGATCCGCCTTTGTGGGTGTGTGCCAGAATAACGAGGATCATCGTCATCAGTTTTCGCTACAAAAAGGTGACAAGCGCCGGTGGAGCAGCAGGCGAGTCCATGCCCTGGCATCACATCGCCGCGACCACAGCTACACTGTACAGTGTTCGTTCTCGGGGCTAATAGAGCAGTATCGTGGTTGTTGCTCCTCAGTAGATTTCTTCCAGGATGTTATATATGCCTTGTCGATGCCCTGATTCCACAGTGTCTGTATGGCTGGTGATTTCTCTACTGAATCAAATGCCTTTTTGTAGTGTATGAATACTTTGTATACTGGTTGGTTGTACTCTGAGCATTTCTCTATTACCTGATTGATCTTATCGTTGTGGTAGATTGTTGAGTAGCCAATTCGAAATTGTGCTTGTTCATCTGGTTCATCGAATTCTAATGTTGTCCTAACTTTGTTAGCAATTACCTTTGTACATAGCTTGTATACGATGGAGAGCAAGCTGATCGACCTGTAATTCTTCAAATTCTTGTCATCTCCTTTCTCGAGGTGAGGATGATGTTAGCATTCTTCCAAGAGTCTGGTCCATCAGGAGACACTTCTAAACAGGGTGGCTAGTTTTTCTAATACAATCTGTCCTCCATCTTTCAGCAGATCAGATGTTACTCGATCCTCACCAGCCTTGCCTCCTTGCATTTCCTCCAAGACTTTTCAGACTTCTGTCATTACTCGGTTCAGAACAAATGCTCTGCTCTTATCAAGGAAACTAGCCTTAGCGTTGACGCAATGAATGATAATCTGACGAGTATCATTACAAAGCGTGCAGTAAAAGTTTGAGGTACGTTAGTTAGACAGGACATTGCTTGCCTGTGTCCTGTCTGACGCCCCTGCAATTTTTCTACAATATTCACCAAATATATTACGCAACAATTTAAGTTGTAAAATTTCTCAATTCGCTCAATAGCGGTCGTCTAGTGTATCCTTTTGTGTTTGCATTTGTTGTGCTTCAAGGTGTTGCGAATGTTCAACCAACAGACCCGATTCACCCCAATTTATTTCTCGATTAGTTTTGTGCGTATTTACTGTTTGCGTGAAAATATTTTCCACTTATTCAGGAAGTCTAGTTTCGGGTAACGGTCTGTTATTCGCCAAAATTACTTTTTAAGAATGCGTTTGTTCTAAGCGGGCACCTGCGGCGCTGTCAACATCACTGAATAAACTCTCAGACACTGACGCTATCATATACAGTCTCATCAAACATGCTGCAAATCTCACGTTTGAGGTGAGGAACGGCAAAAAAAAAGAATATTTTTCTATGTTAGCCGAGTTTAATACGTGCTACGTTAAGAAACAACTTTAACCCCTCAAATTCTGGTTCAACGAAAATGACCAAAGTGAAAGGCTATTTAAAACTGATGCACCAGAATGTTTTATCTACGATTTGGAGACGACTAATTTTATCAGCTTACCTGAGTGAGAAGGCCACACCGGGAAATACAGCTTATGCAAACACTGTTAGTAATACTAATAATTTTAATGTCAAAGAGACTGGCTAAAGTGTAACCATCATCAATCAACTGGAAGTAAAATAATGAAAAGTGTTGAAAGATTTTAGCTCAAAAATACGCTAAAGAAACGATGCTTAATACTTATCATAGCCGCGTGAATGAACCAGAAATAGCGTATGCGGAAGGTTGCTGCAATTTTCGAATTCGTGACTGAATGACGCTTAAATGCACTAGTGGGCTATGATGGGCGCAGCTGGGTATTCATGGTTTTGTTAGGCAACACATGGCGCTGATTAATTTGCGTTTTTTAACGAGACAGCGTTAAAGAACTTGTTTCCGGTGTCGGCGTCGTTGGTTGTGAGCGCAAATTCATCATGCAATGCGTGACCGAAAAATCGAGAACAATGCAAATAAAACAAATTAATAATAAAAACCATCGGCCAAAGGCTCGCCGAACGAGGGCTGTTCGGACTCCAGTGGGGATCGAACCCGAGTCGTTTGCGTGGCAAGCAGATGCTCTGCCACACCGTCACGCCTCTGCTTGTGAAAACAGTGAAAAGAACTTCCTCTGCTTGGAAATGCAGTGAACGTAGCTTTCATGCTTCACAAACACACGCGTCCTGTACGAATGTTTCACAATGCAACATGAAATATTGCGGTAGTAATGCCGTGCTCCAAGCGTTCATTGCCAAAGGGCGTCAAAATATGGGATTACCGTAATGGCTCTGTTGTTGAAAGCCGGTACTTCACTATAAAAGCCACACATGCTACTGCGCCTATTCCCTGAAGGCCACGTATAGTAGGTACATAGCAAATTCGAAAAGGTTTCATGCGCTAAGTATTTGAAGTATGCACTATAGAACAGAATGCCGCTGTCGCGTTCAACTCCTAAAGGGCCCCGCAATTTTTCGACATTCGCAGCGGGCCTCTGAGATGCTCACCAGCGCTATCACTATGTCCCCCCTCTTCCGTTTAATGAAATCACAGCTTGTAGAAAGCATGGCTGGGTATCTCACCTAAACGATCCCTCGGCGTAGGTATTACCAGGCCTTCTTTGGAAAATTCACAAGCCCTATTTTCTAGGAACGTTCGATGCTCGCGCACTCTTTTTCGCCGTCGGTCTCGGTGAAAAGACAATGAATGCACGCGGCATTTAGAAGCACACGACGTCTTCAAGAGGCGGCTTCTTAATACGCCGGGTCTTTACTAGACGTCATTAACGGAACGTTTCCTTTCGCCTGACTGGACACACAGTAGGAAAAATCATGCTTGAATGGAGCTTTTTTTTCCGGCTCACGTGGCGAAAGGGAGAATCTGCTTAGCGGTACAAACTTGGGTAACAAGCGTTCGCTCGGCTGACAGATGCCTCAATACCTCGGCCCTGAAACTACCACATTCATCTCGCGATTATGAACATGAGCAATAAACACCAGGAGACAGGATTCCCATTTTCTTGCGAATAGACCACTACGTAAAGATAACGAGTCTACACGCTAGTTGTCCTTCAAATGACGCAGAAACAATGCGATTAATTCGAGCAAGTCATTTTCTTCATTCAGTGATGTAACAAGGCCGCATTTTTACTTTATTCCTATGTAGTACACTCTGTCCTCGTCACAGTGGCCTACTGGCTATCGACTGCTGTCCCGAAGGTCGCAGGAAAGATTCTCAGCCGTGGCGGCTGCAATTCGACGGACTCTCCTTTCGAGATTCATGTACAGGTTTATTGTGCATGTTAAAAAATAGCAGGCAGTTGCAATTCCCGGAGCCTTTCCCTGCGGTGTCCCTCATGATCCTGTAGGGGTCTTGAAACACCAACAATGGTTATTGTGACGCACACGCGTTAGCACACATTGGTGCTAAATAAATCAGACAAACGGTTACCATCTCTCAAGCGGTCACCATGACCTGACTCATTTCTTGAATATGATCCAAACACCAAGCGTATTGCTGAATTACTCGTAGCAATTTGACTTTACTATCTCGCACCAACCAGGTTCACTGTCAAGGTTGAAATACAAAACTACACCGAACAATACCAATACAAAAAACAAAAAAGCTCCGGGAAGGCTCTGAAGAACTTATTAATGAAGGTTGGTATAATTCCCACCAACGCTCGTTTCCATATAGCTTTATTGGTTGGCCCATAGATTTACGTGGCCTCACATGAAGAAAGAAGTCGGGCAGCGCGTTCCTTCATGCCACGTATGTCAAGTGCACAAAGCCAAGTAAAAACAGCTTGCGCAACGCAATGATACTAACCTACCTTTATAACGTGCCTTTTGAAGTAAAACAGTTGTATTTCGTCAAGATAAATAAGAAACGGGAAGGAGCGATTATCCTGGCTTTAGATGAATGCACCTGGATGGTCGTGGCACGAGCAGGAAAGGAAGATGCAAAGAGCGTCATTATATCTCCTCGAAAGATACGTGTTTAGGACTAAGCGGACAATCGTATGTGATAACGGCCCTGCGTTGAAAAGTGAAAAGCAATAGCAAGATGGTTCCGAGATCAATATGTATCGATCAAGTTCTGTGCGCCATTCCATCCCGCGGGGAATTGGCTAGCAGAACATGCCATACGGGACCTGAAACAGAACATCAAGATATACGGTAGTTTTCTTGGTGGATAGTCTTTAGAAACAGCCGTAAGACATATAATAGATCTTACACAAGTGTCTTAGGAAGCAGTTCACTGCACGCTTCTTCAGGAAAAACATCTATTCTGCAGGCAGACTTTGAGTTCAGACTCTTTGAAAATCTCAAGATAGTCGAGGAAAAGCAACAAAAGTCACAAGAGGAGAGGTACCTAAAAACTAATGAAAATAATTGTTGGCAAGAGACATCAATCAGACATACTAGACACTCGACTGGCCGATCTTGTACAAGGGAGGAAAGGAATAAGAGATTACAGCGATGATTTTTATGGAGAAAAACGAAAGGCGATCTAGTTGTTACTGATTTCATAGTGGTGTTAAACTAGCTATCAAAAGCGAGGAAAAGAAAGTGAACATCACAACCACTTAACTAGCGCTTGTGGTGTTGATTTTTTTCTATTGTCTTCGTCTTTTTTTGCGCTACTTTTACACCAGTATGAAATTTTATGGTACTTACTCTGTTACAAAGATAGCGACTTAGAACGGAATTTCTAAGGCTGTCCCATGCACTAGTAAACGAGAATCATTTGAATATACTTCAATTGAGAATGTCTTCAACCGGGAGGGGATATTGAAAAAAAAAACAGGGAAAGACGATGTGGTATGAGCCTTTGGACAGAACACGTTTAAAATTGATGTTTAGAATTCGCTTAATAGTATTACAATAACAAATATGCAAATCGTAATTATGAGGCGCATTCGTTTTGTTTCACGTTGATAGCTACAAACAGCATTAAAGGCATTGCTGTGGCTGTAGCCCAGAACCGAAGCACCAAAGGAGAGTATATTCTCAATGGTGAAGGGCAGCCCAAGGTTAGCAAATGGGATGGCAAGGAGACGTTTTCTTAATAGACTGTAATACTTTGGGAAATTCTGGCTTAGAAGTATCTCCAATATCACTGAAAATTCCACACTGTCATATGCTTTGGCTATGTCCAAAGTCACTAGAGCAGCATGTTGCCTTCTTTTGCGAGCAAGTTGGATGCGGCTTTCTAAATCAGCGTGGGCACACCATATCGAACAGTGTTCTCTGAAGCCAATTTGATTAGGGTTTAATAATTTATTTTCTGTCATCCAGCTTGTCATTCTCTTATGAAGCACCCTCTCAAGAAGCTTTACCATATTAGAAGTAAGAGAAATTGGTCGTGTTTTTCTATGGTATAGCCTCAACCTGGTTTCTTCTGTATTCCCAATTCCCAATTGTATGGAATCCAGGCGTGTCCTAACGAATAACTTACAGTGTTCAGGAGGTCACCTGGTGATAATTTAAATAATAATTTTACCATGACAGCTGTAATTCCGCATGGACCGGGAGCTGATGAGGATAAATTCCGAACATGTGCTAACTCTTGCAATGTAACTGTAGTAAAATCTGTTATTACCATGAGAGGTCTTAGATCATACAACTTGCTTGATGTGAATCGACACTCTAGTTCTTTTGCGATGATTTCCAAAGATTTTTTCATACCATCGGGCGACATGATTTCACAGACGGCATTGGTTGGAGATGGCAGAATTTTACGTGAAATGAGGAACCTAAACAGGGCACTTTTGTTCTTAGGGTTGGAAAATAGTCATAATGATTTCTATCATATTCGTCTTTAGCTAAGGAAACTGTGCGCTTAAAATTTGCAGCATAAAATTTGTAATCGGACCAATTACGTGGACACTGATTGTACAAAAGTTTTTTCCACGCGGCCTGCCGTCGTCTTTAATCCCGTGCGCACTGAGAATTCTACCACGGACTGGAGTTGTGCTGTTTGCAGACTTAACTACGAATTCAGCTTTTTTATAGGTTCTTTTGAGCGGCGCAAATAGGCTCATAGCTTTTGTGTCTTCTGTCTCTTCAGAATGAATGGTCAAGGAAGATTCTAGATCTTGTTCGAATTTATTATAATTTATATATACTCGGTTCTGACTGCATGATAGTGTTCTAGGACAAACAATATCAAATATTACTGGCAAGTGATCGCTGTTGGTGGCCCAATTCAAGACAGTCCATGACGAACTAGTGAGGGAACAAAACTTAAATCCAATGCTGAGCGAGACATGCCACTAATAAAAGTAGGTGTTCGGGAATTGAGGCATGATAAATCGTTATCTGCTGTCCACTCCCACAATCGTTTACCACAACCATCTGTTTGAAAACACCAACAGGTATGGTAGGAATTGAAATCTCCCACCAGAATTTTGTCTCTAAAACGAGACGTCAGTGCAACGTCCAAACACCGTGTGTCTAGAACCTCTGTGGGGAAATATGCATTGACTAATAACTCGCTCACTGGATTTCGTGCCGACAGGTTGTGCCCTCGCGATCTCCGGCGTCAGCGTAGCTCTAGCCGACTGGGCTTGCCCTACGTCATCTCCTGACACCGACGACCTTCGACGACAGTGTAGCTCTGATCGACTGGACTTGCTCTACGCCATCTATTGACGCTGACAAGAGCTCTCGCAAGTGGTGCCCCGTCCTCGGACTCCTGTAACCGTGTTTCCATCTTTCGTATCTCTCCTATCCCCTAGATATGTTGTCGCTCTCAAGCTTACCACCTCACGCCTCTTTCTCTTTACCTTTATTCCTACCCTTTTAATCCCTCCTCACCCACATCCCTTGTGAGCTACTGTTGAGGTGTCGCTCGCTGAAGCAGACAGTTTCGGGGCTCCCCGCAGGGGCGCCTGCGCAAGTAGGCGTTTGGTGTGTAGCGACACCACGGACCCGAGCTAACGGGGGAATTTCTACTCCCTCCCACGCCTAGCCGTGCGTGGCTTTGCCGTGCCCGGGGAAAAGGGGATCCTGGGGGTTGAGCTGACGCTGGGTGATTGGACCTTTAAGGCCCCCTGGCAGAGGCAACACACCCCTTTGGCCCCGGCTTCACGTAGACGGCACCCCTGGGCTGACCCACCCAGGGGAAATCGGCAGTCGCCTTTTCCTGTCTCTCTCTCTCCCTACATCTTCGTCTTTATCTCTCACTATTTATCTGTCCTGTCTTCTACTCTCTTCTGTTTACTTCCAAATTTCCTGGCGGCAAGGGTTAACCTTGTGTAGTTACCCAACCTTGGGTAGTTATATCTGGTTATAGCGGCGATGTATGACTGGCGCCTTCAAGTGTTCTACCTTGTAGCGTCCCCCTGTTGGGCTCGGTGGTGGGTGGTCACCATCGCCGCCGAACATGAAATGCATCACATGGCAAAACTTTCCCTCCTTACAATGATCGGTCCCTGAAAAGGAACCGCACCGATGAAAACTCCAAACGAACCGGAAGCAATTGTGACCACTTCCCACGCTATTTAGTCATACACTCTCTGGCAGATAACGTCTCAGTTGCAGGACTGTCGGTTTTCCTGATAGCTAAAACCCTTGCTAACCTAATAGGCAAAAAGTACGACGCAAAGAAACTGTCATCCGGTGATCTTCTTGTTGAAGTAAGCCAGAAACAGCATGCAGACACTCTCCTTAAACAGAAGCAGTTCGCCCACCTGGACGTGTCTATCACCCCCCATCGCAGCCTTAACACTGTTCAAGGCGTCATTTCACAACGTGATCTGATGCGAGAAACTGAAGC